TAACACGAAGTTTTCAATATTTATTTAAACACGCACAAATTATAAGGAGGTTTGTTTTACAATTCTCTTGAACAGAAGACAGTCTTATTATGCGATTGCTTAACTTTTAGTGCTGATCAAAAATTTTCTTGTATTTCATAAAACTTCCATTCTAGTTTTTTATTAACGGTCAAAACCCATAGAAGATCCCTAAAAAATCCATGCATGCGTTGTATTTTTGCTTATGGATTTAATTTAGGCGTGAAATCATTTCTAATTTGAAATATAAATATGAAATCGTTAGTATGTTAGATAAATCATCATAATGCTATGCAAAAATGTTTATTATCTAATATTGATCTCTTTCTCGTTATCTTTCATATTTTATTTTTACAAAGTTTTATGAACCGTGAACTACATCCTAAAAAACAATGTTGTTAAAAATAAATATGCATTCTTATTTGAATATACTAGCCCATTCTAATTATAAATTTTTAATCGTTAACAAAAACCCATAATGGAAGCTTTAGCAATCATGTCTCCTCACTTTACGTTTAAAGACACCATTGAAAGTTTTAACAAACAGTGTAGTTTTGTATTATGAGATCAGATCAGAATGTGGAGATATTACAACACGATATTGCTCTCCTTTAAGCTTTTTTAACTATATTCTGTTAGAAATCAATTATTTTTCTATCTTACAACATAAAATCTTTATATAAAAGATAATAAGATTGGAAATTGTCAGTATTGATGCTTTCTATATAAGCAGATGTGAAATAGTCATATATGTAGCTTTGTAAAATACTTGCCTTTATTCCTAAAATTATCTAAATGTTTAATTTTTAAATTTTTAATATTAAGTGTGCAACATTGGTTAATTTAATTGAGTCAATATTTTTTAGAAATCAAATCAACTGCTAGTCTCATCTTTTATTGAATATTTACGCATTACTATTTTTGTAGCATCATAACTTGTCGTTTTGATTGTTTTTAAAAATTTTGTGATGTTGCACCACTTTATATTACATTATAATTTTTAAACGGTCAGATACAAATAAAAACAACTATGCTTGAGCTAACAAGACTGAAACATAGGAATGTTTCTTCTATATGTTTGATGTCGTACTTTACCAATTCAATAATATTAATCAAATGTGGTGGTTATCTTTCTTATTTTTAAATTACACACTTCTTCGTAATAACCTAACTGACTTAACTAATATATTGCATGTTTATTTCTTTCAAGGTCTTACAACATTCCAAAGGAAAATGCATATTGATGGAAGATTAATGAAAAATATCGTTGAAAACTTTTACAAAATACATTAAACTAAAAGGACTTGATTTAGGACAAAGCTTTGTAAGTTGTATAGTTCTCTTTATTCGTTTCAATGAGCGTTAATTATATTATAAAAACGACATGATCAAGTATATTGTTGATTGGCCAAGTCTTTAAATGTTTTTGTACAAGCAAATTTCACCTTACAATTAATTCTACATCTAACAACAAGCATTTTTATGTTATTCAATAACATATGAATTGATAAATTCCATGCATTGGCAATCTCTCAAATGTTGTAGTAATAAATGAGCAATCCCAACCATTATTATGAGCTGAAAATAGATAGTTAATAAAAAACAATTGTGCTAATATGAGTTATATAATGGACCAAAACTGTTTGGGCATTTGAGTATTAAACATTTAAACAAATAATTACATCAGCTTTAAATAAAATTGCCAGTAGACTATGAATTAATACAAACGCAGTTATATTGTAGATTGATATGCCATACAAATTTTATTTAATTTTTCAAAAAGATTTAGTCTGTTTCCGCTAAAAATTTTAACCTCAACAAAAATGGTATTTTAAGCAAAAGTTAATGAAAACGTTCCCTCCACTTTAGATCTTAGCATTTAACAAATCTATGGGCAACAGACTGACTATATGAATATAACAGCCCATCAGTGGTTCGTCCAATTAGTAAACTAGAAGTTTAAAAATTCTACTCATATTAAGACATACTTGCTAGATTTTTATATCTAAGTACTTCAAACAATTAGAAATATCCTGCATAAACTTGCCAATCGACACATCTTTAAACCCATATCTCTGGAGAGTAATAAATTGGTTACCACATCATAAAACTTTCAGGAAATGGAATGTGCGCCAATCACTTCTGAAAACACAGTATTTTTACAGGCATAAACTCCGAGAAACCAGTATTTGTGGAAGAATCTAATGTATCCAAAGTTTATTATAATGCTAAAAGTTTTTTGGGATTTTATCATGTTTTAATCTAGTGTTTTAAAGTATTCAAATTTTACCTTCTGTTAGACGAAAAGAAGTTGAAATCTGTGTTGTAGCAAAATGTTTGGCTTGATAAAATTTTTATTTATAATGCAAATAATATCCAATACGACCCCATTCATTTAAATTTTCGTAAAAATGATTTTGAAAATTCACAAGAAAACTGAAAATCACATTTTTTAATTCAGATCGGAGATACCAAGATGCATAGTCTAGTAAAAAATTCAAGCAGAAGACAAACAACCATTTACAACACACACGATCATACCGATCAATGTTCTCAATTTCCTTAGAATCGTATGATAAATTGTGAAGACAAATGGACAAGATAAAGTTCCAAATATTGGAGGTTCCATCACATTTTGGTGACTGAAAATTTAAAATACAATTGTCAGTTTAAATATATTAATATCAAATATCATTGCGCATAAATTTAATTTACAGAAATTTATTATTAGATTCTTTGTTATATGAGAAACTAATTCTGTAAAAATTATTTCTTGAATAGAATATGATAGTATTTTTGTCTGTGCAAAAATTTTTTTATATTAATATCTTTTTTGGTACTCACACTCTAATACCAACATTTTTTCTTAATGTCAGTGGTAGTATATAAGAGTTAATTCAAACTACATATGAATATGCTTGTGTTTTACTTTCAAATATAAATTAAATAGATTGTACATTGACATGCTTTATTGTATATCTTTGTATATTTGGATTGATGTTTACGCTTAAATACAAACAAACAGGCCAAAGATTATTAACTGTAAAAACTTCGGGTACAAATTAAATAAAAACATCACTCAAATTAGATTTATATTTTTGTGACTGTTCATTATTTTCTCATACAGTGTCATAAACAATTATTTTAACACATTTATGTGCATTCAATTTTTGGCTTCATAAACTCATCTAGCTTTTGTACTTATTAGTCTTTCGATTTGTATCAAAGGCTCTTTGAATCGAAGCATGATTATTAAAGACAAACTTAATTTGATGACGATAGATATTAGTATTTTAACTTCTTCTTCCAATATAGTTCATTCTCAATGTTTGTTGCAAATTTTCAATTAATTCAGATAAGCCACCAGCTCTTAGCTGGTAATATAGCTCATCATATATCATGATTCTCTTGCCACTAAATACTTGTTCTTGTCTTTCTCAATAGTTTTAATTGATCACCTTCTAGTGTATTTTAGATAGTATTGCAACTAATTCATTTTTATTTTATTAATATACTTGTCTATAAAATTTATTATGCTATATTCCTGATAAATCCTTAAATACCACAACCTATATAATAGATACACTTATACTACATGGCATTTTAAATATTATTTTTCTACGTGGATCAACCCATTTCACTGTTTGATTCGTAAAACACATGAAAATTCACAATATGGCAAGTTAACTCTTTTGCACTGACTTTAATTTTGAACATACCTCTATCTACCACGAACAACGAAAATAATAGTTTTACTCATCAGAAATTCCGAAATATGGTGTTTATGAGTTATCTACTATTATCAGTCTAGTCCATTCTCAGCACAACTTTGATGTAATATACTTATTCAAATGCTGATTTAATAAAAATGTAAATAAAACTTCAAGCAAGAATCAAAAGTACTCAAAACACACACAATTTAGACATATATTCCATAGAAACTCGACGATAATGGGAAGTATTTGCGCTATTATTAGGATAGAAAGACGTTTATGACAGCATTCTTGAGGATTTGCTGCAAAATTTCAAAATTATTAAAGATTTATTGATTTTAAGATAAGCACATCTTTTAACACATATCTGGAAAAGCATTGCTTACTATTATGCTAAAGCAAAGTAAGCTAGCCGTTCAACCTTTTATTTTCTATACATGCTGTATCAGCAATC